AGTAATTGGCCGTGTCGGGTGGTGGAGGGTTACGACACATTTATAAATAACGCGATCTAACCCAAAAACGTTGATTATGAATAATATTTCGATTTAAAGCTTTCGTGACTGCAGGGATTCATCTTCTTGGTTCTTTCGGTAAAGTCACGTAGAAGGGAAATAATAAAATAATAAAAATAAAACATAATAAAATAATTCTCACGACGTTTCGGCCACAACGCAAGCAGCCGTCCTCAGGTGAAGAACAGGTCTGTCGGGGAGACAGCTTGCGTTGTGGCCGAAACGTCGTGAGAATTATTTTATTATGTTTTATTTTTATTATTTTATTATTTCCCTTCTATGTGACTTTACCGAAAGAACCAAGAAGATGAATAATATTGGTCTCGAAAGCCTACGTGTTCAACTGGTTCTTCTCTGCTCTGCCAAGAAAGTGTGGTGGGGGGTGGGGGCAGGAGGCAGGGGGCAGGATTCGATTCACGGAGCCACGAGATATATTAATTGTCAGCATCAGATGCACGAGATATTAATACGGAGCCTGACGTCAAATCACGCCGCGGATTAAGTGCGAGATATCGTCTGCCCCGCTGTGCTGGCTTGCAACAGCCGACTAAATTTGGACGCACGTTTCCACAGTCGTGCCTGCCTTCTCTGTTTTATCACCGATCGGGGGAGGGGGAGCCCCCCTTTCTTCCTCATGACCCCCGCGCCGCCAACATGTGATCGGTGTCATCGGACGCGCTCGGTGAATCTGGCCACGGGGCACGAGAAGTTGTGCCAAATAAGCGAAACGATTTTTATTTTTTTTATGCTACCGGGCGAGAGCTTACCGAGCTCTGTGAAGCTCTTTTTGTTGTATTCTTTGGTTCTTTCGGTAAAGTGACGTAGGAGGGAAATAATAAAATAATATTAATATAAAACAATGTTATTTCCCTTCTACGTGACTTTACCGAAAGAACCAAGAATATGAATCCCCGCAGCCACGAAAGCTATAAATAAAAAACAAACTTCGATTTAAAGCTTTCGTGACTGCAGGGATTCATATTCTTGGTTCTTTCGGTAAAGTCACGTAGAAGGGAAGTAATCAAATAAAATCAATAAACGTAATTTGATTATGTTTTAGTTTTTATTTATTATGTTTTATTTTTATTATTTTATTACTTCCCTTCTACGTGCTTTACCGAAATAACCAAAAAATATGAATCCCTGCAGTCACGAAAGCTATAAATAAAAAACAAACTTCGATTTAAAGCTTTCGTGACTGCAGGGATTCATCTTCTTGGTTCTTTCGGTAAAGTCACGTAGAAGGGAAGTAATAAAATAATAAAAATAAAACATAATAAAATTATGTTATTATGTTTTTTTAAAATTTATTTTTATTTTATTTTATTATTTCCATTCTACGTGACTTTACCGAAAGAACCAAGAAGAAAAATAAAAACTCTTTTTTTGTCTTGCAGAAGTGACCTGGCTCGACGAAGTGGCTTATCGTCATCACGTGGAAACCTAGAGCGGCCAAATACTGTTCAACGCGTGTTCATGAATGCGGCGGGGAAAAACCGGATGGCCCGGAGAAAAAAAATCAACGCAACCACGGGGAGAAAAATCATGCAAGCTCCAAATATACAGCAGCAGGGGTCGGGGTCGAACTCACGACCTTCTGCGTACCAGCCGAGGTAGCTAACGTCTCCTAGCCACCGTGATGATGAGACGCAGACTACAAATACACAACAGGCATCAGGGTTGGGATCGAACCCACGACCTCCTGCAGACCATGCGAGGTAGTTAACATCTCCTAGCCATCGCGGTGATGATGAGAGATGCAAACTCCAAATACACAGCAGGCGTCAGGGTCGGGATCGAACCCACGACCTCCTGTGTACCAGGCGAGGTAGTTAACATCTCCTAGCCACCGTGATGATGATGAGAGACGCAAACTCCAAATATACAGCAGCAGGCGTCAGAGTTGGGATCGAACCCACGACCTCCTGTATACCAGGCGAGGTAGTTAACATCTCCTAGTCACCGTGATGATGATGAGAGACGCAAACTCCATATACACAACAGGCGTTACGGTTGGGATCGAACCCACGACCTCCTGTAGACCAGGCGAGGTAGTTAACACCTAGCCACTGTGATGATGATGAGAGACGCAAACTCCAAATAAACAACAGGCGTCAGGGTTGGGATGGAACCCACGACCTCCTGCGTACCAGGCGAGGTTGTCAACATCTCCTAGCCACCGCGATGATGATGAGAGACACAAACTCCAAATATACAGCAGCAGGCGTCAGGGTCGGGATCGAACCCAGGCCTCCTGCGTACCAGGCGAGATAGTTAACATCTCCTTGCCACCGTGTTGACGAGACGCAAACTACAAATACAAAACAGGCATCAGGGTTGGGATCGAACCCACGACCTCCTGTACACCAGGCGAGGTAGTCAACATCTCGCCCGTGTGGCGCCCCAGGTTTTGCTTTCTGCGTTGCTGACGCTTGCCAAAGACGACGATAGCGATGCACCCGTTATTACCCCTCTCTCTCTCTCTTGTCGTCTGTTACAGCGTCCTTAAGGTATAGAAATCATCCAACTCATCGTCGTCACCATCGTCTTCATCACCACCTTTTTCAACGGTTTTACTTAACTTGATGCCTGTGTCGTGGTCAAATGTTGTAATCAAAAGTTAGTCTACTTCCTGTTGTCCAATCAATTCCAAATTTTGTACACGTGCTCAAATCCGGTGACAATGCGTGCCTGTATCAAAATCGGCATCAATTAATCAATTACATTGATTATATTGATGTATTTTATATTTCGTTTTTTCACATCGGTTTATTGTATGGAAGTAGGGTAGTTGCAGTTCTTTAGCGTCAATATGCTAAATTCCTCCGTTGATATGTAAACTCCTTTGTTAAGGCACTCTGCTCCTCCCACCCAGATTAAATATACGCTGCTAAGCTTAGCGGTGTTCATTACGATGCAGTTTTTTCAGACAGCTCTGTTCTTCACCTGAGAACGGCTGCTTGTGTTGTGGCCGAAACGTCGTGAGAATTATTTTGTATAATTTAACTTTTATTATTTTATTATTTCCCTTCTACGTGACTTTGCTGAAAGAACCAAGAAGATTAATCAATTAATTTGCTACTTTAAAGCAATTTACATTTTGTATGGACGCCTTATTATTTATATATATATGTGTGTAGGTCAAAAACGCTGCGGTCCCAAAACTCTCCAATCACCTCGCCCAAGAACCAGGCGCCACGTGTCTCAGGTGCGCCAGTTGTGATTAAAACCGTTGTTTTTACAAATAACTTTTTAAAAGGAGTTGTTTTCTCTGCCTTTCAATGCAGCATTGACGCCAGCACTACCAAGTTAAGCGGTAGGCTGCTGGGGACACCTTCTTGTCTTGCCGAGGGGCAGTAATTCGATTTTTCAAGTATCTTTCACAGGCCACGCGTTAACGGACGCCCTTTGACCCCCACTACCGCTGCACATTCGCAGCAGCGGCAGTGGCGGCGTTAAACCCACACCGACTTTTAAGACGCGTATTTTAGGCCCCCATCTCCTCTGTCGCCTGGCTTTATGAGCCTTTATGAGCCAGGCGACAGAGAGAAGATGGCGAGTTGGTGTGGGGGCCGCCGGGTGCCTTACACCCGTGAAATATTACACGCAGTCAAGAAAAAACGCATTATCATCACCACCACCACCACCATTATTATCATCCAATTTTAACGCGAGAAATAACGGGGGCTCCTCGCCGTTTGCCGCGCGCCAATGCGACGCGCCCGTGATGGCCGTGGGCCGCGTGAAATGAAGACGCGGGCCAGTGATGGCCCACGAGCCGTACGTAGGCCAACCCGGGCCCTCGCATAGGCCCGACTTTGCGCGACTTAAATTGTCGCCACGCGGCGCGGGGAATCCGGGCCGCGATACTCGCCGCAAGTCACGGACGCGCGACGATCCCGGTGCCAGGCCACGTGGGGCTGGAGTAGGATTGACACCTCTCGGGCCGCAAGGAAACTAGGAATGTCTCACGGTGCAGCCACGGCGAGATGTCATCTCCCTCGCCTGCTATGCAGGAGGTCGCGGGTTTGATCGCGAGCCCAGCGGTCACGTGGATTTTTCTCCGGGCCACTCCGGTTTGCCCCTCTGCGTTTAGAATGGGCAACCCACGCGTTTCGGGGTATAAGGCCGCTGCTATGAATTTCCACGCGATAAGCCACTCCGTTGAGCTTTCATTTGCGGCCGGGTCACTTCTAAAAAAAGAAGCTGCATAGCTCATTGGGGCCTTGCCTGGTAAAATAGAAAAAATTGACGAGCGAATACGTATTCCTGCCATGATGCCGTGACGTTTATTCCACATGGGAGGAGGCCATTGCGTGCCGTGATCCACGTCTGAGAAAGTAATTAGCAAATTCCTCAATTTGGAAATAAAAACGTTGCAATCATTGCCCCCTTCCTTCCGTAAAAAACAACTGCAGACCATGGCCGTGAATCACAGCGCCTTCGTGAAAGCCTCAAATGACTCAAATACCTCATGGACTGATCCTTCCCCCACACCGAGCCATGACTAATCGTAAGCGAGTATTATTTAGTAAATTGAAAACTCATTATTTTTGTCAACTCCCTTTTTGCATTTCGTTTATCATCGTTCCCCCGGCACCTCCGATCAGCGCCGTTGGCTACGTACGGCGCGAAAGAAGTTCAACAAACATTGTTTAGTTCGTTGACCTTCCTCCGGCACCTCCGATTAAGCGCCCTTGGTTACGTAAGGCGCGAAAAAAGTTCAACACGCGTACGTTATTACCCCACCGACGAAACACCGGGACTTTCAATGTTGCCCGGGAAGAGCTCCGCTGAGAGATTTCCCGAGACGGCCGCTTCCATCCCTGGAAAAACCAGGACAGGTGGCAACCCCCAGGTTAAAGCCACGGGTGGGGGGGGGGTGCAGGGGGGGGCAGGGGGGGGCGGGGGGGGGCGGGGGGCGGGACTACAACCCCAGCTGTAATCCCACAGGTCCCCAACCGACGGGCACACCGGCGACACACACACACACACACGTACACGCACACGGATGTACGTGTGTGTGTGTGTGCGAGCTGGGCTACACGGAGGTGGAAGGGGAGGGAGCGGGAGGAGATCTGGGTCACTCGGGAGGGGAGCAGGAGGAGATCTGGGTCACTCGGGGTCAGGAGGGGGGGAGTGGATGGAGAGCCGGGCTACACGGAGGCGGGAGGCGAGCGTCCGTCGCGGGCAGAGATCTGGACTCGCCGCGCCGTGTCCCGGCGGAGGAGGCGTTCGTCGGACGCGCGCAGAGACTCGGCGATGCGCCGGTTGTGCTCCTGCACGCGCTGCTGCTGCGCCTCCTGCGTGCACGCACGCGGACAAAGACAAAGATCTCCCGTGTAGCCTTAACAGACTGTAGGGGCAAGTGCTGTTAGCGAGCACCTATGAAGGCCGGCACTGTGGCACACGAGGGGGTGTGGGTGGCCAGCACCACGCCCGGCCGCCTCCGTCTCCCCGGTGGCGATGTTTACTACACACCGCACCAGTGCACTCGTTAGAAGCCGAGTCGACATTACGGGAGGCCCCCGGGGAATCGGTTCAGATATTCTTCAACGGCGTTGGCCCGCGAGCGGGAATCGAACTCAGGGCGGGCGGAGGTTCGCAAGCGCAACGTGGCGGTCGAGCGGCCCCGGGAAAGACACGGCGCGCCGATGGCCCCCTCCCGCCGCCCACCCAGTCGACGCCGAACGCCGCGGCGGCATAAACTCGCTCTTCACCCCTCCATCCCAGCATAAATAGTCGCTCCAAGCCTGGAGCGTGCCATTCAGACTCTGCCTTCTCGACAGACCTGTTCTCCACCTGCAGACGGCTGCTTGCGTTGTGGCCGAAACGTCGTGAGAATTATTTTATCATGTTTTATTTTTATATTATTTTCCTTCTACGCGACTTTACCGAAAGAACCTAGAAGATAAACTCGCCTGCCGACGGCCCTCCTTCCTCTCGGCCGCTTCGGTGGCGGCGGCCCGCTGCCCGTCGTGGGCCCGCTGCCGCTCGGCGGCCGCGCGCAGCCGGGCCCGCTCGCCCTCGCGCGCGTCCCTCGCGTGCGAGCGCGCCAGCTCCTCGGCGCGGGAGAGCGCCGTGCGTCGCGCGGCCGATGAGTTGGCCTCCTGGCGCTCGCGGTCGACCAGCCGCGCGGCCTCCCCCGACAGGCGCTCCAGGGTGCGGTCTCTGTCGTTGGGGGGGGGGGTGAGAAATGTGAATCGCGGTGACGGCGACAGCTTGTGATGTGGCGGTGTCGTTGCTTGAAAGAGAGACGGACGGACGGACGGAGGGGTCGGGAGAGAGACTTGGAAGCACCGGGAGAAGCTGGAAGCTCAACTCCCTCGCGGGCACTGCCTGCCGCCTGCTGAGTTGGCGCGACTCTGGGCGGCTTCCAGGTTTATCTTCTTGGTTCTTTCGGTAAAGTCACGTAGAATGGAAATAATAAAATAACAAAAATCAAACATGATAAAAATAAGTCTCACGACGTTTCGGCCACAACGCAAGCGGCCGTCCTCAGGTGGAGAACAGGTCTGTCGAGAAGACAGAGTCTGAATGACACACCCCAGGTGTGTTGAACGTGGCCGAGCACGGCGCAGATTTAAAGTTCTGTTGCAAATCTGAACAAACAAACAAACGAAGCTTTTCAATGTTACCAGGTAAGGTCCCGCTGAGCTACGGAACTCGATCTGGCCAACACAAATGATAGCTCAACGAAGTTGGCTTGTTCATCGTCACGTGGAATTTCCTAGCGGCCAAATACCCTTAAACCGCGTGTTTCTAAATGTGGAGGGAAAAACCCCCACGACCGCTAGGAGAGAGACGTCGCAAACTCCAAATTTCCAGCAGGCGTCAGGGTCGTGATCACACATACAACCTCCTGAATGCCAGGGGAGGTAGTTAACATCCCCGAGCCACCGTGGTGATAATGAGAGACGCACACTCCCAAAATACAGCAGGCGTCAGGGTGGGGATCGAACCCACGACCTCCTGTATACCAGGCGAGGTAGTTAACATCTCCTAGCCACCATGATGATAATGAGAGACGCAAACTCCAAAAATACAGCAGCAGGCGTCAGGGTCGTGATCGAACCCACGACCTCCTGTACACCAGGCGAGGTAGTTAACATCTCCTAGCCACCATGATGCCCAAGGGAGGAGGGGGAGCGGTGGGGTAGATATCCCGCTCACCCCAACCGCTCACCCTCACCGGATGAGTGGCATATACTTCTCAGTGGGATACGTATCCCACGAAACCGAACTGGGAGAAAAGCGTGAAGGCGGCAGCAGGCGCCAACAATTGCCCACGTTCAGGGGACCTCTACATATTAAGGTGGAGGCCAGGGCGAGGAGGGAGGCCTCAAGGTCAGAGGTCGAGGGGAGAGACATCGAGCCAAGGACACGGCCATTGGCAGAGGGCTACAGAAGTCGAAGTGACACGGGACGCGGTGACCAGTGTCACAGTGGATGGTAGTGCAACGGTGGGGGTGGCAGCGTCACTGTGGATGGTAGTGTCACAGTGGGGGGGGGTTGGATGTGTCACGGTGGGGGTGGTAGTGTCACAGTGGAGGGGGGGGGGTTGGATGTGTCACGGTGGGGGTGGCAGCGTCACTGTGGATGGTAGTGTCACAGTGGGGGGGGGGGGGGGTTGGATGTGTCACGGTGGGGGTGGTAGTGTCACAGTGGGGATGGTAGTGTCACGGTGGGGGGGGGGGGGGGTGGATGTGTCACGGTGGGGGTGGTAGTGTCACAGCGGGGATGGTAGTGTCACAGTTGGGGGGGGGGGGGGTGGGTTGGATGTGTCACGGTGGGGGTGGTAGTGTCACAGCGGGGATGGTAGTGTCACAGTTGGGGGGGGGTGGGGTTGGATGTGTCACGGTGGGGGTGGTAGTGTCACAGCGGGGGGGGGGGGGGGTTGGATGTGTCACGGTGGGGGTGGTAGTGTCACAGCGGGGGGGGGGGTTGGATGTGTCACGGTGGGGGTGGTAGTGTCACAGGGGGGATGGTAGTGTCACAGTGGGGGGGGGGGGGGGGGTGGGGTTGGATGTGTCACGGTGGGGGTGGTAGTGTCACAGTGGGGGGGGGGGTGGGGGTGGTTGGATGTGTCACGGGGGGGGTGGTAGTGTCACAGCGGGGATGGTAGTGACACAGTGGGGGGGGGGTTGGATGTGTCACGATGGGGGTGGTAGTGTCACAGCGGGGTGGTAGTGTCACAGTGGGGGGGGGGGTTGGATGTGTCACGGTGGGGGTGGTAGTGTAACAGGGGGGATGGTAGTGTCACAGTGGGGGGGGGGGGTGGGGTTGGATGTGTCACGGTGGGGGTGGTAGTGTCACAGTGGGGGGGGGGGGGGTGGGGGTGGTTGGATGTGTCACGGGGGGGGGTGGTAGTGTCACAGCGGGGTGGTAGTGTCACAGTGGGGGGGGGGGGGTTGGATGTGTCACGGTGGGGGTGGTAGTGTCACAGCGGGGTGGTAGTGTCACAGTGGGGGGGGGGGGGTTGGATGTGTCACGGGGGGGGTGGTAGTGTCACAGCGGGGTGGTAGTGTCACAGTGGGGGGGGGGGTTGGATGTGTCACGGGGGGGGTGGTAGTGTCACAGCGGGGGTGGTAGTGTCACAGTGGGGGGGGGGGGTTGGATGTGTCACGGGGGGGGTGGTAGTGTCACAGCGGGGATGGTAGTGTCACAGTGGGGGGGGGGGGGTTGGATGTGTCACGGTGGGGGTGGTAGTGTCACAGGGGGGATGGTAGTGTCACAGTGGGGGGGGGGGGGTTGGATGTGTCACGGTGGGGGTGGTAGTGTCACAGGGGGGATGGTAGTGTCACAGTGGGGGGGGGGGGGGTTGGATGTGTCACGGTGGGGGTGGTAGTGTCACAGCGGGGATGGTAGTGTCACAGTGGGGGGGTTGGATGTGTCACGGTGGGGGTGGTAGTGTCACAGCGGGGGATGGTAGTGTCACAGTGGGGGGGGGGGGGGGGGTGGGGGTGGTTGGATGTGTCACGGGGGGGTGGTAGTGTCACAGCAGGGATGGTAGTGACACAGTGGGGGGGGGGGGTTGGATGTGTCACGATGGGGGTGGTAGTGTCACAGCGGGGGTGGTAGTGTCACAGTGGGGGGGGGGTTGGATGTGTCACGGTGGGGGTGGTAGTGTCACAGGGGGGATGGTAGTGTCACAGTGGGGGGGGGGGGGTGGGGTTGGATGTGTCACGGTGGGGGTGGTAGTGTCACAGTGGGGGGGGGGGGGGTGGGGGTGGTTGGATGTGTCACGGGGGGGGTGGTAGTGTCACAGCGGGGTGGTAGTGTCACAGTGGGGGGGGGGGTTGGATGTGTCACGGGGGGGGTGGTAGTGTCACAGCGGGGTGGTAGTGTCACAGTGGGGGGGGGGGTTGGATGTGTCACGGGGGGTGGTGGTAGTGTCACAGCGGGGTGGTAGTGTCACAGTGGGGGGGGGGGGGGGGTTGGATGTGTCACGGGGGGGTGGTAGTGTCACAGCGGGGTGGTAGTGTCACAGTGGGGGGGGGGGTTGGATGTGTCACGGGGGGGGTGGTAGTGTCACAGCGGGGTGGTAGTGTCACAGTGGGGGGGGGGGGTTGGATGTGTCACGGGGGGGGTGGTAGTGTCACAGCGGGGTGGTAGTGTCACAGTGGGGGGGGGGGGGGTTGGATGTGTCACGGTGGGGGTGGTAGTGTCACAGCGGGGATGGTAGTGTCACAGTGGGGGGGGGGGTTGGATGTGTCACGGTGGGGGTGGTAGTGTCACAGGGGGGATGGTAGTGTCACAGTGGGGGGGGGGGGTTGGATGTGTCACGGTGGGGGTGGTAGTGTCACAGGGGGGATGGTAGTGTCACAGTGGGGGGGGGGGGGGGGTTGGATGTGTCACGGTGGGGGTGGTAGTGTCACAGCGGGGATGGTAGTGTCACAGTGGGGGGGTTGGATGTGTCACGGTGGGGTGGTAGTGTCACAGCGGGGATGGTAGTGTCACAGTGGGGGGGGGGGGGGTGGGGGTGGTTGGATGTGTCACGGGGGGGGTGGTAGTGTCACAGCGGGGGGGGGGTGGGGGTTGGATGTGTCACGGGGGGGGTGGTAGTGTCACAGTGGGGGGGGGGGGTTGGATGTGTCACAGCGGGGATGGTAGTGTCACAGTGGGGGGGGGGGGGTTGGATGTGTCACGGTGGGGGTGGTAGTGTCACAGTGGGGATGGTAGTGTCACAGTGGGGGGGGGGTGGGGGTGGTTGGATGTGTCACGGTGGGGGTGGTAGTGTCACAGCGGGGATGGTAGTGTCACAGTGGGGGGGGGGGGGTTGGATGTGTCACGGTGGGGGTGGTAGTGTCACAGTGGGGGGGGGGGTTGGATGTGTCACGGGGGGGTGGTAGTGTCACAGCGGGGATGGTAGTGTCACAGTGGGGGGGGGGGTTGGATGTGTCACGGGGGGGGTGGTAGTGTCACAGTGGGGATGGTAGTGTCACAGGGGGGGGGGGTTGGATGTGTCACGGTGCGGCTAGATGCTTACATATAAAAACGTCTCAGGCCGCTGTGCTCGCAATCAAAAGACTGCTCGCCTACGGGGACACGCGTAGGGTAAATCGGGGATGATAAAAATAGCAGCATCCTCTACAGCACAGAATGTGCAAGGAAAAGCGACAAATCGCCACGAGCGCAGAGACGCGACAGCCACGGCACGCGGTCGCAGGTCTGGTGCTCGAAGGGACAGCGCCGGTGAGTGACAGTGTTGGTGAGTGAGTGACAGTGTTGGTGAGTGACAGTGCTGGTGAGTGACAGTGTTGGTGAGTGACAGTGCCGATGCGTGAGTGACAGTGTTGGTGAGTGACAGTGTTGGTGAGTGAGTGACAGTGTTGGTGAGTGACAGTGTTGGTGAGTGACAGTGTTGGTGAGTGAGTGATGTTGCTGGTGAGTGACAGTGTTGGTGAGTGACAGTGTTGGTGAGTGACAGTGTTGGTGAGTGAATGCCGGTGAGTGAGTGATGTTGCTGGTGAGTGACAGTGCCGGTGAATGAGTGATATTGCTAGTGAATGACAGTGTTGGTGAGTGAGTGATGTTGCTAGTGAGTGACAGCGCCGGTGAGTGAGTGATGTTGCTAGTGCGTGACAGTGCTGGTGAGTGACAGTGTTGGTGAGTGACAGTGCTGGTGAGTGAGTGATATTGCTAGTGAGTGACAGTGTTGGTGAGTGACAGTGTTGGTGAGTGAGTGATGTTGCTGGTGCGTGACAGTGCCGGTAATGAATTTATAGGACCAGGGAATGAGCGCTAGTTGGAGGCGGCCTGGAAGTTCCGAGGACAGCCTCCTAGAGAGCCACACGTTGCTCCCATGGACACGATGGCATGCCTAGCAACATTCACGCTCTGCAGATCACAATGCAGCAGCAGCAGCAGCACCCTGTTATTAACATCGCAACCTATCAATAGCGTGGCTCTCCAGGTGATCAAACCGATCGCATCGGCGCAAGCTAACCGGTGACACGCCGCACTGCGTACACAGGCCATGCGCCACCCTCGCCGCATGTGAACGCTACGGCAAGTGGCATAGCGCAGGTTGGCATGGGCCCTGGCACAAGAGAGGGGCCCCCAGTTCCTTGTGGCCTGGTGCCTGGGTCCCCCATCCGACCTGTGGAGGCTCAGGTGCAGTCTCACCGCCTGCGCGCTCGCCAGCCGCTCCACTCTTACTGGGCAACGCGCGCGCAAGGGGGGCGCAGCGGTAGCGGCGAAGGTTTCGCGCCGCACGTAGCCGCACGTGCCAATCGCAGGTGTGCGGTTCGGTCAGCACGGCGGGGTCGACCACGTGGGCCCGCGGCGTTGAGGCCACCGACCGCGCCTGGCCACTGCGTGCACCTTGCTGAATTGCCCATCGGCGTGTGTGTCTGGGTGTGTGTGTGTGTGTGTCTGTGTGTGTCTGTGTGTGTGTGTGTCTGTGTGTGTGTCTGTGTGTGTGTGTCTGTGTGTGTGTCTGTGTGTGTGTGTCTGTGTGTGTGTCTGTGTGTGTGTGTGGGTGCGAGGCAGCGCTACGGGTGTTCGACCCACGGGGCCGACTCCTGCAGCCACCCACTGGTCCCACTCACGTCGACGCTGCCAACCGACCACCCCGGCACATGACAGAAGAAGAATTAGAAGAAGACACCGGTGTTTGGCACCTCGCCGGTCCGCCCGCCCGCCCGCCTTACCGCCTGTGCCGCTCGGTGAGGACCTGCCGCTGCTCGGCGCGCGAGTGCCGCCGCTGATCGTGATCCAAGCGTCGCCACACCTCCTCCCGGCGGCCTCGCTCGGCCTCCGTCTCCTGCCGGGCGCGAGCTCGGTCCGACGCGCCGAGGCGGTCGAAGAGGGCGCCCGGGCGGGCCGCGCCTCCCTGGCACGGCGGCAATGACAACGTCGGCGTCAGCGTCTTCGTTGTGCCAGGAAAGCGTCACCGTCAGCGTCGTCGTGATTATTTATACGCGCACGTCTCACGCGCGGGCACGTGTGTAGGTGCCCGGCATGGGATCGTGGCGCGGCGAGGTCATCGCGGCGAGATGAAGGGGAGCGAGGGTCACGGCACGTGGCCCCCCCCACGTTGTTGTTGGGGAGGTCACGGCGAGTGAGTGTGTGGGTGGGTGTGTGGGTGTGTGGGTGGGTGGGGAGCGGTGGTGCAGCGGTTAGCGCTACGCTGCGCTACGAACTTGCCGACCCGGGTTCAATTATCGCTCACGGCCAACATCAGTGAGGATTATCTGAACCGGCCCTGGGCCTCCCCTAGGTCGACTCAGCCTCAAATGAGTACCTGGTGCGGTGTGTAAACATCGCCGCTGGGGAGACAAAGGCGGCCGGGCGTGGTGTTGGCCACTCACCCCCTCGTGTGCCGTGCCGGGCCGTTACAGGTGCTCGCTAACAGCACTTGCCCCTACTGTCTGTTAAGGCTATACGGGGGATCTTTGTCTTTGTGATCTCGGTTTTGTGGGAGCATGTGGTGGCTGTGAGATCGTGGTATGGAGAGGGCACGGTACTTTAACGTCACGACGCTTTGAGGAGTTCGTGACAGAGCGAGTTCCCGGCGCTGTGAGATGATAGCATTGCGAGGTCATGCTATTTGTCATGTTACTCATCCTGATTTAATAGAAGATTCTATAATACAGGTTTTTTTGGGGGGGTCAGATCGGATAAATATCTGAACGTGTCGTTAAATCCGCCACCACCCGACACGGCCAACTAGTAAGGGGTTTGTCACGTAGACAGAACGTGGCAATTAGTCACTAGTACAGCACTAGTGTGTAGTGTAGTGTATAGTGTAGTGTATAGTGTAGTGTATAGTAGTGTATAGTGTAGTGTATAGTAGTGTATAGTGTAGTGTATAGTAGTGTATAGTGTAATGTATAGTAGTGTATAGTGTAGTGTATAGTGTAGTTATTAGTGTAGTGTATAGTGTAATGTATTTTAGTGTATAGTGTAGTGTATAGTGTAGTATACTAGTACAGCACACCGGTTGTGTGTTGGAGAGCCAAGCAATAACATTTACAATCTAACCCAAGAAGAAAAAAATAACCTGTATTATGGATGATATTGGTCGCGAAAGCCTACGTGTTAAAGATTCAATGTTGATGTTCTATGGGTCTTTCGGTAAAGCCACGTAAATAGAATAAAAAAAAGTTTTTATTTAAAATAATAAATTATTAAATTTTTATTTAAAAAAAAACTATCTACGTGGCTTTACCGAAAGACCCATAGAATATGTATCCTGCAGTCACGAAAGCTTAAAATCAAGATTAAATCAAGATTCAAAATGTAATCTTTGATTAAATCTTGTTCAGCATTGGCTGTGTCACGTGCCCTCCCTGAGTTTTCTGTGCGCCCCCCCCTTAAACGTGGTCACCGATCTCGCGTAAATGTTGTTCATCTCATTACACGTCGAGAACATTCAAATTGGAAGCAATTATTGCTTCGACAGAGACAAACGGCTAAAACGAATTATTGATGCGAACTCGCGTCCGACCTTGAACATGCACTCCTCGATTTAAAGCTTTCGTGACTGCAGGAATTCATCTTCTTGGTTCTTTCGGTAAAGGTGAAGACCAGGTCTGTCGGGGAGACAGCGTCTGAATGAAACAACACCACACATTCAGACGCTGTCTCCCAGGCAGACCTGCTCTTCACCTGAGGGACGGCCGCTTGCGTTGTGGCCGAAACGTCGTGAGAATTATTTTATCATGTTTTATTTTTATTATTTTATTATTTCCCTTCTACGTGACTTTACCGAGAGAACCAAGAAGATGAACTCCTCCTTACCTTGGAGCCGGTGGTATAGTCCAGGCTGGCGTGGGCGAGGATTGACGACTGGACCGCGCGACTCCTGCGCTGGGGGTTCACCACCGCCGAGAACATGGAGCTGGTGTTGATGGGCGGCGCGGCTTCGGCGACGACGGCCGATCTGATGTCCCCGGCGCTCAGGCTCCGTGGCCTAGGCGAGCGCGAGGAGCCTGTGGGGCCCAGGCGAGCCGACGACGCAGCGCGGTTACACCAGTTTCAAGTTTCAAGTTTTTAAATCCTTTATATTAAGTTCGCTCGCTCGCTTGCTTAGGACCGTGCAAATCTTTCGGTCGTTTTTTAACCCACTTCCCGTGATCCAATCGAGCTGACATTTTGCACACAGACTCGCTGTGCGTGACAATTAATGTTCGTGAAATTTTTTTCTCCAAAATTTTACACTTTTTAGGACAAAAATATTATATTTAATTATCAATTGCCTAATGGTGCAATGTAATCATCTGACCCATAGGTGGCAGCCATCTCAAGCCAGAGGACGAGAGGACTCTAGCCGCCACGCATATAAAGGATTTATAGTGAAAAACTTTGTTTTTACGGGTTATACTTATTAAGTTTCATTGATTAGGTGTATAGCCCTGTGAGCCATGCGGCTCTTGAGTCGGGTGCAACCGCAACAAACAAAATATGAACAGAGAAACATCCCAAAGCGATGACGCGTAACAGAAACATCCTGGAATAAACCACCCCAAAAAAAGTATTAAAACGCTGTGTGAAAAAATCACAATGTGGTGCAAGCCAACAACAACAACCATAAGACAATTTAGATTAACCATATGTTTTCAAATCACTAAAATAAAGCTATAAAAACAATGTAACAATAGTAATCACAGGAACTGTGATTTTAATTGAACAATAAACGATATACATAACACGTATGACCAAACTTGCAGCCATAGCTGGCAGCATGACACTCACACTCTGCATTTAGTAATAGGTTTTTACCCTTTCAACTGGTACAAAAAACTGACACCTTTATACAAGGCATCATGTTTGCAATAACCACAACACAAGCAGTCAAAATGCAAACAAAAAGAAACAACTCTGATGATGATAATGATATGCACTGTCCTTGAAGTTGATTGGTCCACACCCGAGACAGCTTTTCTTAGAGCCTAGTCTCCATTGGTGTTGGAACAGATGACGCCAAAAGGCGTACAACTCAAAGACAGCGCACTATCAGAGTATTGAGAGCTCGGGGTTATCATTTACACTATGAGACATCTCCTTTACCAGTGGCAAAATATAGTAATAGGTTTTAACCCTTTCAACTGGTTCTTTTTGTTTGCATTTTGACTGCTTGTGTTGTGGTTATTGCAAACATGATGCCTTGTATAAAGGTGTCAGTTTTTGTACCAGTTGAAAGGGTAAAAGCCTATTACTATATTTTGCCACTGGTAAAGGAGGTCTCATAGTGTAAACACTCTGCATCATCATCGTCGTCTGATACTTGAGATGTCGCGCATCGCCCACAACCGCCAACGGATTCACAACAGGGCACCGCGCACAGGGAGCAAGCACAGATACTATGTTCGTTATATTATGATAACGTTCACGTATTTATGAGCCTATTTACGTATTTATTTAAGGAAATTAATCTTTTAAAAAATGTTTTTTTAGTGGGCCAATATCATTATTCCGTGAGTTGTGACAGTCACGAGCATCACCAGAACGTGTTCCTCGCGAACAACCGGGGGGACAGGTACAGGGTGACATTGCCACCTAAACACGCGAGAACAACCGTGACGCAGACAAATGTCATGTTCCAAAGTAACGGCAGGCCGCATTTACCCAGCGCAGCTGGCGAGCAATTAGACCCGTCTAAGTTTAGCTTTCTTAAAACGACGAATCGGCCCCCCCCCCCCCCGAAACAAAATGATGCCTCTCGCTGCACAATTGAGCATTTTAAAAGGGCACGTGGTGAACGGACGGACGGACGGCTGAATTAGCATCGAGGGAGAGAGTTCTATTTTTTATTGAAAGTTGCAAAAGCAAACGCGAAAGGCGTATTGTCAACCACAAGCACTTTCGTGTCGTTGTGTTATATCCAACGAATCGCAAGTGCTAATCACGAACGGCACTTGCACCAGCTATGTCGGTCACGGTTGGACCAATTACCTTGGCACCGTGTAAATGATTCTATCTCTACTACTATACTATGGGAACCCCGAGCTCTCATACTCTGATGGTGCATTGTCTTTGAGTTGTGCGCCTTTTGGCGTCATCTGGTCCAACCCATGTGAGACTAGGCTCTAAGGAAAGCTGTCTCGGGTGTGGACCAATCAACTTCAAGGACAGTGCATACATTATCAGAGTTATGTCTTTTGTTTGTATTATGACTGCAGGTATTGCGGTCTATGCAAACATGGCTCCTTGTAAAAAGGTGTCAGTTTTGTTGCCAGATAAAAGGGTAAAAAACCAATTATCAGATTCTATCTCTGTCCATGTGAGAGTCTTAAACGTGACTGGAAACGAACAACAGTAAAACCTTGGATTGCGAGTAACTTAGTCTGCGAGTGTTTTGCAAGACGAGCAAATTTTTTATAATAAATATTTATTTGATAAACGAGCGAGGTCTTGCAATACGAGTAGTACGTGCATACGCTTTGTCTGCCGAGCGTCACGTGATCACAACTGATATACGAGTGCTTTGATATACGAGTGCTTTGGATTACAAACACGTTTCCGGAACGAATTATGCTCGCAATCCAAGGTTTTACTGTAGTTTTTTTTATTTCACAAGGTAAGGCTCCACTTGAGCTACGTGGCTGATTTTCAGAAGCGACCTGGCCGCAAATGATAGCCCAACGGAGTGGCTTGCCGCGTGAAAATGTATAGCCGCAGCCCAATACTCTAAACGCACGTTGATTCTAAATATGGAGGGAACCGGGGAAAAATCCACGCAACCACGGGGAGAACATCTAAACTCCAAATATACAGGTGTTAGGGTCGCGATCGAACCCACGACCTCCTGTATACCGGGCGAGATAGTTAACATCTCGCCACCGAGGAAAGAAAGCTGTTTGGCCGATTCCGTTTGAAACCCGAGTGCTTTTGGCGGTGTTTTTCCACTGCAGAAGCCGAGCCGTGCCACGGACGTCGTTAAACGACGCAGCGACGCATGCGTTCCGAGTCGTGCCGATTGGCCTCGCGCATTCGTTCACTCCCCTGCTTGTCCCCGAGCCAAAGTCAAGACGTCTCGTGAGCCCGGCGAATCACCGCTTGGGCACGGCTCGGCTCCGCTCGGCAAACAGCGATGGTGGGGGGAAATTAAAGGGGGGAAATAAAAAACGTGTCTCACGCCAGGAGAGAAAGGGGCTACACGAGGACTCCACGGCTCACCCGGCTTGCGGTGGTGCGGCGAGGTCGCCGTGCCGGCCCAGTACTTCCACTCGGGCCTCTCCCTCAGCGAAGCCTGGCTCGGTCTCTCCGCGCGCCGCTCCCGCGTGCCGCGGTCGGCGTCGCCGGCCCTGCGTGCCTTCGACCGGCGCGCCCTCCTCGAGCGGCCGGCCCCGAACCCCCCACGCTCCACATCCACGTCGTCGTCCGACGATGAAGACGAACTCGACGACGACGACGATGACGACGACGACGACGACCTGCGTCGCCCCGACTTGACCTCCTTGCCGCCGAGCGCCGGCGGCGGTGATGCCGGCGGCGTCGGCGGCAGCCACCCCGTGCCGTCGTGGAGGAGGTCCCGGGAGTGGCACGTGCAGCAGAGCGGGTGGCGATGCCCGTCGCACAGCGCTCCCTCGGGGCAGCCGCAGGGCAGCGCGGGCATCCAGGACGTGGGGTAGATCCGGCCCGTGTCCACGCAGCACGGGGACACGGAGCCGGTGGAAAATCCTGCGCGATGCAGCCGGGGAAGCGTGGGAGTTAGCGGGGGTGGGTGGCGCACAGGTGTTTATTTTGATGTTCAGCGAGGGTCGTGATGGAAATGTTCATGAATGAACGAGTGGACAAAGATCCTCGGGTACGGCGAAGTTTCACTGCACCCCGCCGAGGATGAAACGGTGACTGATTATGACGAGGCACAATTAACGATGGTAATGATGATGATGATGATCTTGATTTGAAGCTTTCGTGACTGCAGGAATCCATACTCTTTGGTTCTTTCGGTAAAGTCACGTAGGTAGAAAATAAAAAAATAAAAATCACGACGTTTTGGGCGCAACACAAGCGTCCGTCATCAGGTGGGAGAGCATGCTTTGTGTTGTGCCCGAAACGTCGTGATTTATTTTATTTTATACCTACGTTACTTTACCGAAAGAACCAAAGAGTATGATGATGATGATAATGGCGATGCTAAGAATCACGATCATAACAATGATTACGACAATATTGATGGTGAATAATATTGATAACAATAACGATGACAATGGTGAGCGATGATGATGATGTATGTTGAACTTGAACTTCTTTCACACCATACGTAGCGAACCGTGCTAATCGGAGGCGCGGGGGAAGGACAACAAACTAAACACAAAAAGTAGTTCTAAAGAAATGAGTTTTCAATCGAGATCATTTAAAAGTGCATAGCTCCAGTGGCTTTCTAATATCGCAAGAAGGTTCCAGACGGCCGCAGAAGCGCGCCGGGAACGCGCTCGACGCGGCGACCACCGTCTTTGCTCGACGTTGCGCCAAAAGCCGTCGCCGCTGCGAGGACGACCAGAGTTCACGTGACGGCTCACGAGGTCAACGAAGAGTCGTGGTTGACGTGACCGGCGAGCTGCCGCGGTTCAATCGCGGCAAACGCTTCGGCGCGGTAAAGAGCGCCGCGGTGGGACGGCTCGCGCGGGAGTCACCGTGGAGGTGAGCGAACGGCGCCGACGCCGACGCCGGCGGCAGAGCGAGCCCGTGTCCGCTCCCCGGCGGTGACGCCGCACGGAGGCGCCGGCGGGCGCTCAGCGGCATCTGCAGCTCGAGCACGACGCGCTCGTAGAGGCGGCGCGGCACCCACACGGCGACGCCGGGCGCCACGCGCTCCGTGCGCCCGTTCCAGAAGTTCACCACGATGGGCGCGGCGCCGTCGGCGGCGTCGCCGTGGCATTCGTCTCCGGCGTGCCCTGCGCGGAGAGAGTTGGATTGTGATTGATGTCGGGTGGGAAGGGAACCCCCCCCCCCCAAATGAACTGTCATCGCTCGATTACAAAATGGGCGTCCTGCGATGGGTACAGATGTCATAACGCTGGGGGATCGCCGGTCACGGTCGCGGCTGCAAAGGTCACGACACAAACGGAGTCGGAAGGAACGCCGGGGACGGGGAAAGGGTTTAAGGTCCCAATGTTGCTTGCGGGCCGTTTCAAAAGTGGCGGGCCTCACAAAGCCAAGGGCCGTAATCCAGCTCGCTCGCTGTACGTCCCCCCCCCCCCCCCCCCCCCCGTAGACTCAGGGCGACCCGAACGCGTCAATGGCGAAGACGTCAACGTCGCCGCGTCGTCCGGGTGACCTCCTGACCCCCCTGACCTTGTCCGAGCGCAAGCTGCCGGCGCGGCTCCACGCCCTGCAGCACGGTGCCCGGCCCGTATCGGTCGGCGAGCGGCTTCCACGGAGCCAGCACGCAGTCGCCCGGCAGGACGGGGTGGCGCAGCGCGTCCGTGTGCTGGATCACGTCGCTCAGGAGCGTCTCCTGCATGCGCGCCCGTGGGCTGGCGGCGGTGGCCGTGCCGCCGCGACCCCGCGACCCCGTCGGCAGGTCGAACTCCACGAGGAATCTGCCCAGCGGGCCCTGCGGGCGGTGACGGGAGGGACCCGAAGCAATTGGGACGTCGCTGCAACGCGATAGTTGAAGCCAGTTGGCTCTATCGAAGGGGCGTGATATCGAACGTGCGACTATCACAGCCGTGGCAAAGAATAATGTCTCCCGTGCTGTGCCGAAAACTGTCTATATACATATACACACTTTGAAGAACTCGTGGGTTACTTGTTTGGCTCTTGGTCTGTTACAGTTTGGCCACCCCTAGTTTAGACGGGCAGCCGAGTGGCTTAAGGGGTCAGAGATTCCGAGTTGATAAAGCTGTCACCTGCCCGCGTTAAATCCTAATGAGTTGGTTCAGGATTGCTTTTTGGGTCAGGTCGCCACGTCGGTAGAACGTCGCATGCCCTCCTCGTCCTTCTCCTCCTCCCGATGCAGCCGCCTACTAACATCACGCGCCCCAACAGGCTGTCGAGGCTACGCGGTGTGGGGAGGGGGGGAATCTTTCCCTTCCTTACCTCCAGCTCCTGACAGACGGTGCCCCGGTAGTAATATCCGTCGGGCTCCCTTCTCGCGAGCACGCGCGTCCCGCGTAGCAGCGCTCCCGCGCCAGAGTGGACGCAGCTGTCGCTGGTGCCAGCGCTGACGTGCGCGTGCAGCAACGCGCACCGGCACGGTCCCACGCACGCGCACGCCACCACGCACGCCGGCACGCACGTGCACCGTCCCGCGCACGCGCACACGGGCACGCACGCGCAGCGGCCCGCGCACACGCATGACACGAGGTGGCGGCAAGCCGTCACGCTGAAAAGAGAGTGCAAACACACGACTGAGAACTTCTCCAGGAGGTCTGCAGAACCCGGATGCCACATTCCCCGTGGTACCGTTGCAAATTCTCAGAAGCGTTCACATTTTTCCCGTCTGTCGAATTGCCCTGCATATATCCTTGATCGACTTTGCTTTCAACTCCATCTAACGCTGTACTCTTAGTTCTTTCGGTAAAGTCACGTAGGTAAAAAATGAAATTAAAATTAATAAGAAATAAAATAATAAAATCACGACGTTTCGGAGGCAACACAAGTCTCCGTCATCGGGTGGGACCGTCACAGCTAGATTTGCTGCATCAAGTGAGGCAGGGATTCAAGATGCAAGCCCTTAAATACAAGTTGAGAGGGGAGGAGAGGGGGGGAGGCTTATCAGAATGTGGTAGCCGATACGTTCCATTCATTGGCTACCACATTCTGATAAGCTCCTCCCCCCTTAACTTGTATTTAAGAGCTTGCATCTTGATTCCCTGCCTCACTGGCTGTGACGGTCCCACCTGATGACGGAGACTTGTGTTGCCTCCGAAACGTCGTGATTTTTATTTAATTTTTTATTAATTTTAATTTCATTTTTTACCTACGTGACTTTACCGAAAGAACTAAGAGCATGAATCATTGCAGTCACGAAAGCTTCAAATCTAGAACTCCGTCTAACGCTGACCGCATCCGGCGCGGCCCCCCCTTTAAACCGGGCGGGCGCTACGGGCGTGGCGACGGATGCGGGCGTGTGGGGGGGGCAGTGGCGTAGCTAGGATATTTTGCGCCCAGGACGAACTATAAAATTGGCGCCCCCCCCCCCCCCTCCGTTGAATCACATACTAAAATGTAATTACGTGACATGTAGGCTGTGTGTGGCGGGATATATAAACTTTTAGGTTGAGGTGTAGATTTGTGCAGTAGTTTCAGGCTGCCGCGCCCGCCGCAATAAGTTCTAATGTAACTTTCGATTTAAAGCTTTCGTGACTGCAGGGATTCATCTTCTTGGTTCTTTCGGTAAAGTCACGTGGAATGGAAATAATAAAGTAATAAAAATAAAACATTAAATAATTATCAATTAGAATTTTATCATGTTTTATTTTTATTATTTTATTACTTCCATTCTACGTGACTTTACCAAAAGAACCAAAAAGATTATAAAGTAACGTTGTAAACCTCATTTTGGTGCCCCTTTACCTTGGCGCCCGGGGACACATGTACCCCCCTGCCCCCCCCCCTAACTACGCCTCTGTGGGGGGGTGCGGGAGGGGAATCGTCAAACCAGCGCCGACGGTGCAGCTCGTGGTGCAGGGAGTGGGCCACGCCGTGTGGCCACCGCTCGGCGGCTGCGAGGCTGCCCTCTGCGTCAACGCCCGGCAGCAGCGGGTTGTGCTCCAGCGACGTGGACACGGTGCAGCGCTTCACGCCGCCCACGACCCACGGCGGCGTCGCGCTCACCAGCACCGGCACCATCTGACCGGGAAGGAAGGAGGGGGGGGGAGCGGCGGTGCCGTCGTGAGTGCGCGGCTGTGCCGAGCATCCCCTCTTGACGGGATGACGGCGCCGCACAGACGCCCGGTCAGTTAGGCACCTCGTGCCGATGACCGATGCACCGACGTCACCGCTGCGCGGAATGCGTTAGGTCTCTCTTCAGATCGAGCGCCGCTGTGGCTGGAGATGTTAACTACCTCGCCTGGTGTGCAGGAGGTCGTGGGTTCGATCCCGATGCTGACGCCTGCTGCTGTGTATTTGGAGTTTGCGTCTCTCATCATCATCACGGTGGCTGGGAGATGTTAACTACCTCGCCTGGTATACAGGATGTCGTGGATTCGATCCCGACCCTGATGCCTGATGTATATTTGCAGTATGCGTGTCTCTCTCTCTCTCCCCGTGGTCGCGTGGATTTTTCTCAGGGTCCTCCGGTTTTTCCCTCCACATTTAAAAATGAACGTGCGTCTATCAGAATCAGTTTCTGTATTAACACTGGAAGAATCCTATGAGCTAGAAAGCTCTTTTTAACAGATGCCCAGTAGAGGTAGGTTAAAATGCTATACATTTCCAAATGGTGATAAGCCACGTAGGTAGAAAAATAAATAATAAATCACGACATTTCGATCGCAACACAAGCAATCATCATCAGGTGGAAAGATACAGCAGTAGAATTGCTGTTCTGCGATCGAAACGTCGTGATTTATTACTTATTTTTCTACCTACGTGACTTTATCGAAAGAACCAAAGAGTATGAATTTCTGCAGTCACGAAAGCTTCAAACCGAGGGTGATAAGCCACTTCGTTGGGTTATCATTCGTGGCCATATCGCTCGCCTCTGAAAAATATCGCTCAGTGGGTCTTACCCAGTTAATTAAAACAGTTGAGTTTAGTGGAGTAATTCCGGCTAACTCGAGCCTGGCCTCGAGACGTTTTACAGCAGGACCGTGGGATCGCGATCCGGTCTCTCTCACGTGTTCGACGGCACCTCCCCTCGCGAAGCGCACGACGTGCAGCGACCCGCCCGTGCCCCTCGCCAGCCGCTCCAGCGCCGCTCGGTCTCCGCCGTCCGCCCTCTCGCTCTCGGCCAGGACGCACACGACGTGAACGGGCCGCCCTCCCGCGACGGCGGCGGCGGCCACGCATCCGTCCCGGCCGGCGTCGCCCCCCGCCGCCACCAGCAGGCAGACGGCGTCGCAATCCGCGTCGGAGAGTGCGGAGCGGAGTGCGTCGACGGCGCCGTCGGAGCCGGGGCGGCAGCGCAGCGAGCGGAGCCAGCGGACGGCCTCACGCGCCGCGCGCGGGGTGCACGGCACCATGCGCTCGCACCAGCGCGTCACCTGCGGCGGGATACACGCGCTCAAGTGGCGGCTCGGCCTTCTCCGCTTGCTTGCGCGTACCGTGCCGAGCCGGCACGGGGCCAGCACGGCACGGGATCTACGTGTGAGCCTGTGGGTCTCTCTGTGAGTTTGTGGGTTTATGTGTGAGTGTGGGTCTCTGTGCGGGTCTGTGGGTCTCTCTGCGAGTCTGAGTCTATGTGTGCATCGTTAAGTCTGTGTGTGGGTCTATAGGTCTCAGTGAGTCTATGGGTCCATATATGAGTTTGTGGGTTTATGTGTGAGTGTGGGTCTCTGTGCGGGTCTGTGGGTCTCTCTGCGAGTCTGAGTCTATGTGTGCATCTATAGGTCTGTGTGTGGGTCTATAGGTCTCAGTGAGTCTATGGGTCCATATATGAGTTTGTGGGTTTATGTGTGAGTGTGGGCCTCTGTGCGGGTCTGTGGGTCTCTCTGCGAGTCTGAGTCTATGTGTGCATCGTCAAGTCTGTGTGTGGGTCTATAGGTCTCAGTGAGTCTATGGGTCCATATATGAGTTTGTGGGTTTATGTGTGAGTGTGGGCCTCTGTGCGGGTCTGTGGGTCTCTCTACGAGTCTGAGTCTATGTGTGCATCGTTAAGTCTGTGTGTGGATCTATAGGTCTCAGTGAGTCTATGGGTCCATATATGAGTTTGTGGGTTTATGTGTGAGTGTGGGCCTCTGTGCGGGTCTGTGGGTCTCTCTGCGAGTCTGAGTCTATGTGTGCATCTATAGGTCTGTGTGTGGGTCTATAGGTCTCAGTGAGTCTATGGGTCCATATATGAGTTTGTGGGTTTATGTGTGAGTGTGGGTCTCTGTGCGGGTCTGTGGGTCTCTCTGCGAGTCTGAGTCTATGTGTGCATCTATAGGTCTGTGTGTGGGTCTATATGTCGCAGTGAGCCTATGGGTGTCTATCTGAGCCTGTGAGTTTATGTGTGAGTGTGGGCCTCTGTGCGGATCTGTGGGTCTCTCTGCGAGTCTAAGTCTATGTGTGCATCTATACTGTAGGTCTGTGTGTGGGTCTATAGGTCTCAGTAAGTCTATGGGTGTCTATCTGAGCCTGTGAGTTTATGTGTGAGTGTGGGTCTCTCTGCGAGTCGGCGGGTCTCCACGCGAGTGGATAACAGATGCGCTTGCGAGACCGCCCGTAGACTTGGGCATGACCAGTTTATGAGCACAGGGAATGATCACACGCCACGATAAACGTCGTACCCAGATCGTTAAACGCCGTGAGCTCGCCCTCCAACAACACAGCAATACGTCGGCACGTCTGATCGTTGCGCGACAACGCGATTCACTGGACCTGGCCGTTGAACTCGACGATGTTGAAGAGCGTGTGGGCGCCCGCCTGCGACCTCTCCAGCAGCGTCCGCGCCACGAGCTCAGTGACGCCCGCCAGGTGCGGTTCCATCGTCAGCGTGGTGCCCAGCACAAACGCCACGTGCCGGTCCGCGCTCAACGCGAGGGTTCCTCCTCCCATGGAGCCACGGTCGGCCAAGAACTCCGGCATTTCCTTAAAGGCACAGACGCCGGCGGTTGGATGAATTGCTAGGGTTATTTTTTTTACGCAGAATAATTATATGTTGTTTTGGGTTGCTCGGTCAATGGCCAGGGTCAACGGCGGCGTGGTGTATTCCGCAAATATGCCCGACTGTGAGGGCGGGCACAAGCCGGCGTGAGTAGGTTAAACGTTGAGTTTTATAAGGGCACCACGGGGTGACCAGCCCCTCCCCACCCAGCCCCACCCCTTCCGCTCCCCACCCAGCCCCTCCCTCCCCACCCAGCCCCTCCCCACCTTCCCCTCCCCACCCAGCCCCTCCCTCCCCACCCAGCCCCTCCCTGCACGACGGACACAATAATCCCCTGTGGGCTGGTGTAACCAGGAGGTTCCGACCAGTAAGAGTCTACCAATAAGGGCAACTTCACAATCTACACGGCCGTTCCGCGAAGCTTCCAGACGCACGTGAATTCATACTCTTTGGTTCGTTCGGTAAAAGTTACGTAGGTAAAAAAATAACACTGGTCAACACACTTTTTCTGGCATAAGGTATTCTAATGGTTGTAAGGTTATTTTGGGGTGCTGCTTCCAAATCTGGCATCAGTTTTTGTCTATCACATCAGGTTATTGAGATATCAAATATTGCATTTTCAATAAAAACTGCAGAAGAAAAATATTAAATAAATGTGGATATCTACATAAAATTATATTGTAAAAACACACTATCCTAAAAATACAGGACCATATTTTAATACTAAAGCAGTCACTGACTCGCAACAACTCGCAATCATAAGTGACAGAGTTAATTTCGGGTAGAATCAATGAAAATGGGGTATGCTGATAGCACAAAAATGATGTGATAGAGCAAATCTGAGATCAGATTTGGAATCAGCACCCTGAAATTAGTCTAAAACAGCTGCAAAAGTCCAGGCCAGAATTTTTGTTGTTGTTGTTGACCAGTGTAATAGATCACGACGTTTCGATCGCAACACAAGCAGTTTTTTTTATCCTTTATATTAAGTTCACTTGCTTGCGCGCTTACGACCGTGCAAATCTTTCGGTCGTTTTTGAACCCACTTCCCGTGATCCAATCGAGCTGACATTTTGCACACAGACTCGTTGTGCGTGACAATTTATTTTCGTGAAATTTTTTTTCCAAAATTTTCAACATTTTAGGAATTTTTTTTTATATTTAATTACAAATTGCTTAATGGTGGCAGGCAATCATCTGACCCATAGGTGGCAGCCATCTCAAGCCAGAGGACGAGAGGACTCTAGCCGCCACGCATATAAAGGATTTATAGTGAAAAACTTTGTTTTTACGGGTAAATTTTTTTTTGCTGTGGTTGTCCCACCTGATGACGATTGCTTGTGTTGCGATCTATTATTTTTATACCCACGTGACTTTACCGAAAGAACCAAAGAGTATGGATTCCTGCAGTCACGAAAGCTTCAAATCAAGATTGCGCGTGAGATCCTTTCGCCAGCAGTGGTGTTGAGCGAGCAATTGCGGGGCTGTACCTTTGCCTCGTAAACAACGAGAGAGGCTGCGGAAGAGGAATTTGACAAACATTGGAAGTGGGACCCCCTGCAATCCTCAACGAGAGTCTCGAAACGCCGTGAAGCGTGACTGGTTAAACACGGAAAGCGTATGATTGTCGCTAGGCGAAACTAAACTATATTCTTGGTTATTTCGGTAAAGTCACGTAGAAGGGAAATAATAGAATAATAAAAATAAAACAATACAATTCTCACGACGTTTCGATTGCAACACAAGCAAATTTTCTTGCTGTGGTTTTCACACCTGATGATGATTGCTTGTGTTGCAATCGAAACGTCGTGATAATTTAATTGTTTTATTTGTATTATTTTATTATTTCCCTTCTACGTGACTTTACCGCAGCAGGCGTCAGGGTCGGGATCGAACCCACGACCTCCTGTATACCAGGCGAGGTAGTTAACATCTCCTAGCCACCATGATGATGATGAGAGAGACGCAAACTCCAAATATACAGCAGCAGGCATCAGGGTCTGGATCAAAGCCACGACCTCCTGTACACCAGGCGAGGTAGTTAACATCTCCTAGCCACCGTGATGATGATGAGAGACGCAAATTCCAAATATACAGCAGCAGGTGTCAGGGTCGGGATCGAACCCATGACCTCCTGTACACCAGGCGAGGTGGTTAACATCTCCTAGCCACCGTGGCGTGCCCAGACCTCTGGCCAAACAGACAATGTCAATCAAATATTGAAAGCTAAGCAGGTTTAAATCCTGGAAAGTGCAGCACTTGGAAGCACAGACAGGCAGTCGTGGGGCTGCTACAGGCTGCGTCTTAGTGAGCACAAGACAAAGATCCCCCAGTGTAGCCTGGTGAGTGCAAGTGCTGTGAGCGAGTAGCAGCACCTATGAAGGCCGGAACGGCACACAAGGGGGTGGGTGGCCAGCACCAGGCCCGGTCGTCTTTGTCTCCCCCAGTGGCGATGTTTACACACCGCACCGAGTTCTAATTTTGAGGCTGAGTCGACCTAAGAGAGGCCCCGGAAACGGTTAAAATAATTTATAATCGTCACCGGCGGTGTTGGCCGTGAGCTGGGAATGGAACTCGGAGCGCCAGGTTCGTAGCGCAGCGCGCTAACCGCTGCACCACCGCTCCCCACACCAACAACAATACCCGGCCATTGGCCACTAAATAAATGACGGTAACAGTCACCACGGCGCCTGTGCCAGGCCAGGTGCACTTTGAGGCTACCGCGTGAAGCGTCGAAGGCTCGCTGCTGACAGGAGGAGGTATCGGGACAGACCCTGCAGGTGCCGCGGGTCGACTGACAGAGATGACCGGTAGATGCACCACCAGCTGTGCCCACTACTGTGCCCCCCAAACACACGACACACAGGTACAGGTAGCGGCAAACACACACGACACACAGGTACAGGTAGAGGCAAACACACACGACACACAGGTACAGGTAGCGGCAAACACACACGACACACAGGTACAGGTAGAGGCAGACACACACGACACACAGGTACAGGTAGAGGCAAACACACACGACACACAGATACAGGTAGAGGCAAACACACACGACACACAGTTACAGGTAGAGGCAAACACACACGACACACAGATACAGGTAGAGGCAAACACACACGACACACAGTTACAGGTAGAGGCAAACACACACGACACACAGTTACAGGTAGAGGCAAACACACACGACACACAGGTACAGGTAGAGGCAAACACACACGACACACAGGTACAGGTAGAGGCAAACACACACGACACACACACAGGTACAGGTAGAGGCAAACACACACGACACACAGGTACAGGTAGCGGCAAACACACACGACACACAGGTACAGGTAGTGGCAAACACACACGACACACACACAGGTACAGGTAGCGGCAAACTACACACGACACACACACAGGTACAGGTAGAGGCAAACACACACGACACACAGGTACAGGTAGCGGCAAACACACACGACACACACACAGGTACAGGTAGAGGCAAACACACACGACACACAGGTACAGGTAGAGGCAAACACACACACACGACACACAGGTAGAGGTAGAGGCAAACACACGACACACACACAGGTACAGGTAGAGGCAAACACACACGACACACAGGTACAGGTACAGGTAGCGGCAAACACACACGACACACACACAGGTACAGGTAGAGGCAAACACACACGACACACAGGTACAGGTAGCGGCAAACACACACACACACAGGTACAGGTAGAGGCAAACACACACGACACACACACAGGTACAGGTAGAGGCAAACACACACGACACACAGGTACAGGTAGCGGCAAACACACACGACACACAGGTACAGGTAGAGGCAAACAAACACGACACACAGGTACAGGTAGAGGCAAACACACACACACGACACACAGGTAGAGGTAGAGGCAAACACACACGACACACACACAGGTACAGGTAGAGGCAAACACACACGACACACAGGTACAGGTACAGGTAGCGGCAAACACACACGACACACACACAGGTACAGGTAGAGGCAAACACACACGACACACAGGTACAGGTAGCGGCAAACACACACACACACAGGTACAGGTAGAGGCAAACACACACGACACACACACAGGTACAGGTAGCGGCAAACACACACACACACAGGTACAGGTAGAGGCAAACACACACGACACACACACAGGTACAGGTAGAGGCAAACACACACGCGTGTTCAGTGTCCTCGTCACCACCACAGCCACCACCGACACTGCTCACGAGAATGATCGGACGAAGACTTCACGCGGCTGCTGCTGCTGCTTCTGTTGCTGCTGCTCCTGCCGCTGTTCCTGCTGCTGCTGCTTCTGTTGCTGCTGCTTCTGTTGCTGCTTCTGTTGCCACTGTTGCTGCTGCTCCTGCTGCTGTTCCTGCTGCTGCTGCTGCTCCTACTGATTCTGCCTCTACCTCTCCTGCTGCTGCTGCCACTGCTACTGCTGCTCCTGCTGCTGCTGCTCCTGTTGTTGCTGCTGCTGCTGCTGCCGCTGCTGCTGCTCCTGTTGTTGCTGCTGCTGCTGCTGCCGCTGCTGCTGCTCCTGCTGTTGCTGCTGCTCCTGCTGCTGCCGCTCCTACTGCTGCTCCTGCTGCTGCTCCTGCTGCTGCTCCTGCTCCTGCTGCTGCTCCTGCTACTGCTGCCGCTCCTACTGCTGCTCCTGCTGCTCCTGCTGCTGCCCCTCCTGCTGCTGCTGCCGCTTCTGCTGCTGCTCCTGCTGCTCCTGCTGCCGCTGATGCCAAATACGTTTCCGGAGCGTCTCCACGGCTCCCGCCACCGCGGCTGTTTACGCGTCGCCATGGCAACCGCAGGGGGTGGGG